GTAGATCTAGATCAAAGTATATGATCACCTATCCCCTCCTCTTCTAGCTTAGTGAGCTTCTTTGAGTTAGGCTAGCAATCGCGTCGAGCAGGTATACCAGCGCGTCGGCGGCGGATTGTTCGTTCAGACACGTTGTAGACAGCAGCAGCGCGACGATTACTTTGTGTTTGATGGAGATTAATAGAAGAAATAGCAAGCTAAATATCTGCTTCATTTAAAGCTAATTAAGTAGCGCTACGTTGAGCCATTGTTCGTTGAGATAGGAGAGGTGCGCAGGTTTGGTGGGGTGCGGCGCTCGCTTACCTGCGGCGCTCGCTTGCCACATACGTCAAGTAAAACAAATCAAACGAATTAAAATGCATAAAACGGATACTGGAGACAACAAAATGAAAAAAAACACTTTAATCTCTTATACTCCATGTTCCTATTCTTTTCATTTCTTTTCCTATTCTTTTCCATTCTTTCTCATTGCCATTTCCCTTTTTCTCTTTACAGCACGAAAGAAAAACATTCACATTTACATTTACATTCACATTTACATCCGCATCCGGCTCCTTTGGTCGAAGCACAGACATTCAATGTCCCCATGATGGCAATTGCAATTTGCATCATGTATGCAGCGTATACTTTGATTTTTTTTTTCAAAACTTAGCTTTTTTTTTCTTTTTTGTTTTCGGTTGTTGATTAAAGCATGTTGACTTGTGTATGCATCTTTCCATGCAAGTATTTACCACTCCGTCCATCCGTGCATCCGCTCATCAAGCTATTTCTTGCTCGCTCCATGCATCCACCCGCCCGTCCACCTCCCTCGGTCTATCCATCCACCCGCCCACCTCCCACCCTCCATCCCATTCAATCAATCATGCACCCCCATCACTCACAACGACAACGACAATCACAATCACAAAGGCCAGAAAGCAGGAAGAAAAAAAAGAAGAAGAAGGTAAAACACATGATAAATCACAATAGCCATATCGCATATCATCCCTTTGACTACCTAGTCATCTTTCATCGTGTCAACATCAACATCATCGTCATCGTCATCATCATCCTCGCCAAACTCCACACCATACTCGGCACAAACGTCCCAGCGATCGCCCTTTGCGCTCTTACTGATGTATTTTGTGAAGCGTAGGACGCCCCTGTCGCGCAGGACAATGGCCATGTTGTTCCAGGCAGCGGGCTGGCTGAACAAGATGCCGTCGTCGTCGTCGTCGTCAGCGGCGGAGCGGTAGATGGCGGGGTCGGCCTTGGCTTTGCGGCGTTGGCCGGCACCCGTTGAGGTCGAGGGCTCCAAGGAAGATGTCGTCGTGGGGTTTTCCGAGTCGTCTTCGCCGGCCATGTACATTTCGTAGCCGCCGACTTCCTCTTCTGGCTTGGGCTGTTGGGCGGGCTTGGCTTTGCTGCTGCTGCCGTTCTTCTTCTTGCTCTTCTTGGAAGATCCGTTTTGCTCGGGTTTCTCGGTCGCGGCTTCTTCGGGTTCCTCGTCTTCGTCGCCCCAGCCGCGTGAAGGCGTGATACCCAGACAGACTTCGAGTTGTGGGTCTTCTTCCTCGTAGGCCGTCGCTAGTGTGTAGTCAAACCCACGACGGAAACGGCGGGCAAAGATGTTACTCTTTGTTAGGGTGATTCCCGTGACAAGCGAGATCCACTTCATGAAGGCGGGATGCGGGAAGAGAATGTCGACGAGGTCATCGTATGGTGTCATACCATCGTTCTCGGGATACGGCGTAGTTGGTATGGGTTGAACGGCCTGGCGGTAAAGGTATCGGTGCTTGTGCGGCGGGCGCGCGACACCGACTTTTGACTCCTTGTGATGTGGGTTGGCGGGTAGGCTAGGTTCAGCCTCGTGGTCCTTGGATTCGAGGTACTCGCGTAACCGCGCCGAGAACTTGTTCGACAAGAATTGCGCGAGTCGTAACGAGGACTCGTCCGAGAACATCTTGGAGAGCTCCTCCACGGTGTCCGGAACGAGATAGTTTGGGTTGATGAACTTGATGAGGAAGTCAATCTCATTCTCCGTGAGCTCGTCGTCTTCCTGCTTCGCCTGCTCTTCCCAAAAAGGGTTTTCTACCCATTGTGGTTGCGGCTCATCGAAGACGTCGGCCTTTCCTCCCTGCAGCTGGGCGAGCGAACTCTTCTCTGCTAGCTTCTCCTCAAGGCCCTCCTCATAGCCCTCTTCGCCTTCTTGCGGGATGTGGAACCATCCACTGATGGCCATGCGGATGCGCCCGCCGTCCTCGTCGGCCTTTTCTTCCACGCCTCTTCGGTACACCTCCTCGACGTCATGGAAGCTCTCGCCGGGCTGGACCGTGAAGAAGGAGAGTTGGTTCCAGGCAGGCGGAATCGACAGAGAAAAGTCTGGGCTCGGTACCTTGACCTTGTCGCCGTCGGGCGTCTCGAGGTCTTCGGTTGGGTACAGTCGCAGGGCACCCCCCCACTCGGGCTTCCATTCAATATCCGGGTCCAGCAGGTACAGGATCCAGCTGACGCGTCGGCTGCCAATGACGTCGTCGTGGCATAGCAAATGGCAGCCTGGCGTGTATACGTTCACAGCCATGTCGGTCTTTACCCCGCTCAATGGCCCAGCCCCTGTTATCGAAGAGAGGTACTTGCGAAAGGCCGACGAGTACAGCGAATCACGCAGGGTGAGCAGCGAGGGCAGGCGCTTGAGTGCCGAGTCGTCGAGGCCATCGAGGTTGGCGAGATCGCCAGACTGGTGGATCTTGTAGATGTCCGTCTCCTTGGGGGTGAAGTGGATGTGCTCGCGGATTTCGTTGCGGACATTGCGCAGCAGCGTGTCGTTGACGAGCTTCTGGATGACGGCGTGCTTGTAGCTGCGAGGTCGGTCAGAGAGGGCTGGGGCGGGTGCTAAGCATTGGGGGCATACGGCTGCGACTGGGCATAGGCATTGGTGTACTCGGCGAGCACGCTGGCGTCAAAGAGGCCGTGGCGGAAGTTGCGATGCGCCTCGTCGTCGGGGATGGCCCTCTTCTTCTTGGCCAGGCGGCTGGCAGGAGCTTCGTTCTTGCGCTTGCCCATTGCGACGGCGGCGACGGCGGCGGCGACGGGCTCGAGGGTGGCGGGACGGGGGGCGTTCAGGTGGTGGTTGCGGAGGCCAGGCACGGCGGACAGCTGGTGAAGATAAATGTGGTCGGCATAAGCTCTGGGCAATCGCCGATGCTATCGCTCGCTCTCACACCATGGTCGGTCCACCTGGGCTCGCGATGATTATTGCCCTGCGCGGAGGCCTTCCCCTCAACCTCACCGATGAGGGCTACACCAGCTGGCTACGGGACGGGCGCTGCACGAGGCCAAGGGAGCAGTGCGCTCGACGGCCGCCATGCTGATGGCGCGGAGAGCCATCTACTCCGGTTGGCTGGCAGCATGCTTCCGCCCACGGCAAGGCGTCGATGGCTGCGAACCCTGCATTCAACACGCCTGCTGCTCTCTTCACGCATGTTCCCGATATCTGCATGTGCGGCTAACGTGTTCCTTTGTATCGCCACAGGGCACTGCTAACTATCTGCAGCCACTGCTGCGTCTCTGGGAACATGATCGACGCCCTGCGACCGCATGCGGCCACGCCTCCCGCACGGCCACGAAACCTGTGGCTGGCCATGGCAAGACCAGGACGGGCATCGCGCCGTCGTCTGCTGCGCACCCCCTCCCTACATGTAGGTGGAGGTGTACACCTAGCCTGCCTGGCTCGCCGAGAACAGCTTGGCCATCTTCTCCTCGAGCATCTTGACGTCGTCGCCCACCGTCTTGATGTTGTTCACCATGGTCGTCTCGGCCTTCTTCACGTCCCTTTCCAAAATCTCCAACTGCCGCTCCCAGTTCTGAATCTCTTGCTCCTGCGCCGACTGCCGCCGCTCCAGCTCCGTCAAGACCTCATCAGCCTGCCACGCACTCGTATGCACAAGTCGCAATGTGCGTAGCCGCTCGAGGACTAGCGGTAGCATGGGCGACAGCTTGTCAATAGAAGGCAACGTGCCATACAGCGCATTGATCTTGGCCTCCTGGTCCGGGTAGCCTGCCGCTTTGCTGTCATTCGACGCCGCGCCAGCTTCTGCCGCTTCCTGCCGAACCTCCTTCAAGTGCTCTGCCTCTGCCGTGAGCTTCTTCACGTTTTGTGTCACCGTGTCCAGGTTGTTGGATGCGGCATCGCTAATCAGACCAAGAGTCTGCTCCAGCCGCGTGAGCGTCGTCGCGACCGGGAAGGGCGTGTGGTCGTTGAGTTCGGGCATCGTGTTTCCGTTTAGGCCCAGGCTGCCTTCCATCTGCGTGAGGCGCTTGTCGAACTCGGCCGCCTGGTTCAGCACGAATTCCAGCTGGCTCCTCTGCACCTGGGTTCCCGGCAGCGGTGGCTGGTTCGCAATGGCCTTGCTAAGCTTCGGGCTGGGCTCAAACGGCTTGTAGCTATCAAACTTTTGCACTGTCCGGTCGAGCATCGCCTGTGCACCCCGCACGCCGCCTTTGTGTGCAGCATATATCGTGTCCACCTTGCTTGCAATCATCTCCATCATTTCCTTGGGGTCTTGCTCCTCAATCTTGGATTTGTCCCCGCTCTCCACTCTCTGCTGGTACTCGCTTTCCAGCGTCGCCAGCTCGCGCTTGATTCTGAGCAGCTTCTTCGCAAATCCCTCTTCCTCTTCGTCGCTATCATCGCCTAATATCTCGCCCCGCCGTCGCTGGCGTCGTGTCGATGTGCGATAGGACTGGCGTTGCGCCGTGATGTTGTCTGAGAAATCAACACCCCGCGCGTCTATTCGAGCAGGCTGAAATCGGCTGCGGGCCTGGTCGGGTTGCAGGCGCTGGTGACGGACTGCCGAGTCGTCTTCATTGTCGTCGTCGTCGGCGTCCGACTCAGAAACGGCCGTGGAGGCTTGTATCGTCGACACATCTTCGGCAAGTTCTGGCGTTTCATAAATGTCAGGCGCCGTGTCAATGCCTGGAAGATTGTCGTACTTTGGCCTCGTTGCTTCAGACATTGTGAAATCGAGGCGGGGTTGACTAGCTGGCCGAATGCCGGGCCTTGACGGCGGCTTTCAGGCACGCGTTCGCTGGTCCTGTCGCGACTTGCGCTAGTCCCCACCTGGCTTAGCCTAGCCATGCTGTCTTCACTGCTAGTATCCATGCCAGTGCCACATGTCTAATGCCTTGGGCCGACTTTTTGTCCCTCTTCAACATATACGCATTAGCTCGTGTAAAGTCAAGCATCACCGGCGATCTCATTCATAGGCATGCTTCGCAGCGGACAGTCACGCCATGCTGCATTGCAAATGTCGTGCTACATCTAGAGCTTGCTTTCTCATCTGATTTATGCCTGAACCTTGAACGTACGACCACTGGCTGTCTTGCGCTCCTTCTCCTCTGCCTCGGGTCGAGCTCTGCGGAGAACTAATCATGTCAGTGGGCAAGCTAAATAAAAGCAAACGTCTAGTGGCATACCTTGGAGGAAGTCGGCGGTCCGCTTGCGCATTCTTGAGTGAATAAAGGCCTTGGAAGCCTTGATATGGTAGTGGAAGTAGTCACGGAACGTTTGGATGTGTGAGATGACCTCGGCCCGTCGTTGCTTGGTGAGATGGCGAGGGAAAAGCACTGCACCAGTTAGCAATGCACAATGTATACTGCAGGTTTTCTTACCAAAGGTAATGTAGCCAATATCAGCAGAGCCAGATGTGTCGACTCCCGGGATGCCTTGCAACTCCAGAGGGGCTTCGTTCCTGAACAGCACTTGCGGTGCGTTTTGGATCGCTCTCCGCCTGGCGTCGACAAACTCCTGGAGGAACACCTTTCCAAATATCCTGTCTGTCTCTTCGCGGAACACCGTCGAGAAGATGACCGTGACACGGTCGTGGCTGGCCTTGACGTATATGGCTTCCTCCTCTCGGTAGTGAATGGCACGTACGTCACCACCCTCTGCCACACCCTGCGGCGCCGCCTCGGATGTGTACTTGGAAGCCTCCTCTTGGAGATGGTGGAACTCGTCAAAGGCCTGCTCGAAGGGTGCGGCCATGGCGTTTCGCTTGAGGAGGGCCACGCGGTGGACGAGATCATCCTTGGCCTCTGCATACCGTCAGCTCTTTCCTCTGCCCGCATGCAATTCATCCGCACCTTGGTCTTCTGGCAGGCTCTCCAGGTCTACCTGGACGGAGAAGTCGTATCCCGACTCGGGCTCGACAATGTACGGCCCGTACTCGCGCTGCAGGACGGCTTGTGCACCATATTGGACGAGTTCGTTGAAGCATTTGATGCGCAGCGACACGATAATCTTGGTCTTGCTCTCGGGAGTCGAGATGTGGAAGGTGACGCCATCAAAGTCGGAGACGACCTGGTCAATGTTGGCTGGAGCTCCTCTGTGCGTTGTTAGCTACCTTGACTGCCGAGTGGGAGGCAGCGGGGTAGGGCGGACCCATTGACGCGGTCCCTGAGTAGGGACTCGATGAGGACGTTCTGGTAGTCGAGCAGAAGCATGGCGGCGGTTCCAGCTCCTTGCGGGGGATCTGGCGTAGTCGGGGGGCGGGGAGCTCTCGAGTCGGGCGGTGATGCGGAGGACGGAGGTGTGCTGTGGTGATGCTGGAAGGTGGGCCTAGCGCCAGCCGTGGGGTCAGGCCCTTGTCTAAAAAGTTTCCAGAAACATGCGCTCTTGCTCTTGCAACCCGACATTCACCACCGGCGCATAGCGACCTGCCTTTTGCCAGCAGCGCCATGAGTCGCGACGACTGCGCTTGAACACCTTGAGATTACTGCTTCCGCCATTGTCTGGCTTGTTGTATGAAAAAAGCGCAACATGGTCAAGTCGTACAGGTAATGCGCACACGCAGCGCACCCCCATGCAAAGCTCCTGCTGACCTTGGTACAGCAAATATGAGCAGACCGACGCTTTCGGCGTGGTCGCGACGGCTACCTCGAACATTGTCTGGACCCCCGAAGGCCTCACCCAGCCGGGCTCCAGTCGGCCTGCAGGCGCCGGACGCGCATACGCCGCTGCCAACGAGGAGGTGCTGTGCTGGGATATCAAGAAAAGCGAGCTTGTGAGCCGCTGGCGCGACAATTCCTGCACTGACCAAGTCACCGTCATCCGCCGAAGCGAGGTGGATCCAGACATCTTCGCCGTTGGGTATGCAGACGGAAGCATACGCATTTGGGATGCGCGCACGTCGACCGTCGTTATCAGCTTCAATGGTCACAAGACGGCAGTCACAGTCCTTGCTTTTGACCAGAGCGGCGTCCGATTGGCCAGTGGTTCCAAAGACACGGACATCATCATATGGGATCTGGTCTCCGAAACAGGCTTGTTCAAGCTGAGAGGACACAAGGGTCAAATCACCGGGCTGCACTTTATCCACCCTGAAGATGCGCCGCAAGAGGATGGCGTCAGTGGCGAAGATGTGGAAATGGACCAGGACCAGGCGTTTCTGCTGTCCACCAGCAAGGATGCGTTGATCAAGATTTGGGACGTCACCACTCAACACTGCATCGAGACGCACATTGCGCAAACAAACGGGGAATGCTGGGCTCTCGGGGTCTCGCCAGATGGCAGTGGCTGCATCACAGCCGGCAATGACGGGGAGCTCAAGGTGTGGGCCATTGATCAAGCCGGCCTACGAAGAGCTGGTTCAAAGATTGGTGAAGCCACAGACTTGGAATACCTTACCCCACGAGGCATACTATACCGGCAGGGCAAGGACAGAACACAGGGCATATCGTTTTACTCAAAAGCCGACTACATCGCGGTGCATGGCGCTGAAAAGGCCGTCGAAATCTGGCGAATCAAGACTCCAGAAGAAGTCAGGAAGAGCTTGATCAGGAAGAGGAAGAGAAAGCGGGAAAAGTCAAAGAACGAGACAAATGGGGATGCGCAAGAGGAGGCTGATGCCGATGAGAAGATTAACCCGGCTGACGCTGAAATTGGCGAAGTCTTTGTGCCATACGTGACCATACGGACGGCTGGAAAGGTGAGGTCGGTTGCATGGATGTATATCAAAGGAACCAAGAAGCTGCAGCTGCTCGTCGGCACCAACAACAACCTACTGGACGTATACGAGGTACCCCAAAGGAGCAAATCAAAGAGCGAGGAAGCACCTGACTACTCGCGGACTCTGGCCGTTGAACTCGCGGGTCACAGGAACGACGTGCGAGCGCTTGCACTCAGCTCTGACGACCGCATGCTGGCCTCTGCGTCAAGCGGAGGTCTTAAGATCTGGAACGTCAAGACGCAGAATTGCCTGCGTACACTGGAGTGCGGATATGCACTTTGCTGCGCATTCCTGCCAGGCGACAAGATCGTTGTCGTAGGCACGAAAGACGGCGACATTGAGCTGTACGATATTGCGGCATCCACGTTGCTCGACAAGATCTCCGCACACGAAGGAGCCGTGTGGACTATGCAAGTTCACCCTGACGGAAAATCGCTTGTTACCGGCAGTGCAGACAAATCCGTCAAGTTTTGGAATTTTGACATTATCCAAGAGGAGATACCAAGAACGAAGCGCACAACACCTCGTCTCAAGCTCATCCAGTCGCGTATACTCAAGGTCAACGACGACGTTCTTAGCGTGCAATTCTCGCCCGACTCTCGATTATTAGCCGTTGCGACTCTCGACAATACTGTCAAGGTGTTCTTCGTGGACTCACTAAAGCTCTTCCTCAACCTATACGGGCACAAACTGCCAGTGCTCAACATGTCCATCTCGAGTGACAGCAAACTCATTGCTACTTGTTCTGCTGATAAAAACATACGCATCTGGGGTCTAGATTTTGGAGACTGCCACAAAGCTCTGTTCGGGCACGAGGACAGCATCATGCAAATCTCCTTTATTCCGCACCCTGTCGACAGCGACGAACGCCACCTCCTTTTCAGTGCAAGCAAAGACAAGACAATCAAGAGCTGGGATGGCGATAAATTCCAACAGGTTCAGAAGTTCAAGGGTCACCACGGCGAGATCTGGGCCATGACGGTAGCGCGAACAGGTGACTTTGTCGTCACAGCCAGTCACGACAAGAGCATACGGATCTGGACACGATCAGAAGAGCCCATTTTCCTTGAGGAAGAGAGAGAAAAGGAGCTCGAGGAAATGTATGAGAAGACGCTTGCAACAAACCTCGAAGACGAAGAAGACCCGAACGGTGAACGCGCCGAAGCAGTCGACGCGAGCAAACAAACCATCACCACCCTCACAGCGGGTGAACGCATCCAAGAAGCCCTGGACCTTGGTATAGCAGACTTGGAAGTTGTTCGCGACTGGGAAATCCAAAGGAAATCCAATCCAAAGATTGCACCACCGCAGCGCGACCCTCTCTTCCTTGCCCTTGGTAATATATCAGCCGAACGCCATGTCCTCAACACCCTTTCCAAGATTCCTGCTGCACAGCTCCATGATGCACTCCTTGTCCTGCCTTTCTCTTCTCTACCCGCCCTCTTCACCTTCCTCGCCATCTGGGTGCGCAAACAATGGAACATCACCCTGACCTGCCGTGTCCTCTTCTTCATGCTCAAGACACATCAAAAGCAGATTGTCGCAAGCAGAGAGCTCAAGACGGTGATTGAAGGAATGCGAAACGACCTCAGGAACACGTTGATGGGAAACAAGGATTTGATTGGCTTCAACGTTGCAGCTATGAGATTTGTGGGCGAGAGAGTGGACGAGGCACAGCTGGTTAGATGGGAAGATGTGGATAAGCTGGATGAGGAGAAGAACAGGAAGAAGAGAGGGTTCATTGATGTAGCATAGAGTTTCTCAAGGCATAAGCTAGGCGGCGCACTGGTTCGGTTCAAAATTACTGTACTATGGATTGAATTACGGCATGTTGATGAACGTATATTGTACTAGACGCTTTTTTTTACTCAGTGAAGCAACTTTACCCTACTAACCCCTATCCAATCACGAAACCTCTTCCTCGGACCGCACATTCTGCCACATTTCAGCAACACGCCACAGCTTCTCCATGCCGATAGCCCGCAAGACGGCCCCGCGCTCGCCACGATATTTCGCATCATACAGCTCTTCGTCGACCTCGGCCACACCAGCACGCTCAAACACAACAGCCTTGCCGTCGTCGGCCCACCTCTCTCCATTCGCCAGTCTGAGAAAGCGGTCTTGCACGGCACGCGCAATGCCGCGGTTGTGCTCGTCGAAATGGTCCTCGAAGTTGTTCAGCAGATACACGACGTCGAGCTCGTGCGACGCCAGGCCTTGGAACGAGCCTTCAAGCGGGTTCGGCACGTGGAAATGATAGCGCGAGGCGCGTTTTGGCGGCGTGCTCGCTTTCCAGGCTTGATGTGCGGTTAGTGCTGGGAGGTGGAAGCGCAGCTCGCTGACGAGCTCGAGCAGGTGCTCGTCTTCTTCTTGCTTGTTTGGCAGCGGCGTCTGGAGATTGTAGGCGGTGAGGAGGACTTGGGTTTCAGCTGGGGAGATGTGTTTTGCACACGCTTCCTTGAAGCAGTCCAGTGCATTGGGCTGGTTGAGGATGCGGGATTTGAGAATCAGGCCGTCGTGCGCGGTATCCCCGATGACGAATTCACGGCACCACGAGGGCTTGTGGACGGCGCTCTGCCCGCTCATCATCGCTTCGATGGTTACCTCACGAGTTACGAAGTCGTTGTCGACGGTGGCGGTGAAGTGCTGGGCGAGCGGCAACTTTTGCGCCAGTTCTTCAGCATCAGTTTCCAGCAACGCTTTTCTCCTGGCCTCCGCATCCGCCACATCCAGCTTCAGGTATGTAGATTGTTCTTCGAACATTTTCTGCTGCCACGCTGCGTTCCGCCATTTCCGCAGCGTCGCCTCGCCGCTCATGATGACGACGCGTTCAAACAAGCCCTGCGCCCCTACATTAGCACAGAGCAGCGTCGAAAGCGAGATGCCGCCCGCCGACTCGCCCGCCGCAGTAACATTATTCGGGTCGCCGCCGAAGCCCGCGATATGGCGCTTGATCCAGCGGAACGCTTGCACCTGGTCCTTGTATCCCATGTTGCCCGCCGCCTTGATATCGTCGCTAGCCAGGAACCCAAAGACACTAAGCCTGTAGTTTATCGCAACCCCGACAACCGGTTTCCCAATCTCGATACTGCGTTCGACGAGCCGCCGCATTTGGTACTGCGGCCAGCTGTTCGAACCGATGCTCAGCGCGCCGCCGTGGACCCAGACGAAGACCGGCAATGCTGTCTCCCCTGATTCCTGTATAACAGATTTAGGCGCCGTGACGTTCAAGTTTAGACACTCCAGCTCGTCCATTTTTTCCTCGGGGCCCTGGCCTGGCTCGAATGGAAGCTTGACGTTTCCTGCGAGCGTTAGACCCCATGCTTGGCCTGCGCGGTGCTGCGGACATGACGGTCCAAACTGCGTTGCATCCACCACGGCATCGCCGTCGGTTCCCGATTTGATTTCGTCGTTGAGCACAGAGTCTCTGTACCGTCCTGGTACCGATGCGTATTTCAGATTTCGAAACTCGATTGTTTGTGCGGAGAGCTTGCCGCGCAAGGTGCGTTTTAGGCTGGGATGGCGCAGTTCATCTGGGCTGTTCGACGACATGGCTACTTAAAAGGATTTGTGGGGTTCCTGTTTGGAAAAAAGGGGTGTGTGGTTGGTGGACTTCAGACGTCAGGCCTCTCTCTCTCTCTCTCTCCTACTTGGCATAACTTGTTTAATCTGTCTGCGAATACGATTTAAAAGTCTCTCCCCCGCCCAGTGCGCTGTCTCCCCGGAATTGCCAGGTCATCGGGATGTGGGGTGGCGCATGTGGGGCTTCGACCTCGGTAATGGTGGTGAAGACAGCTGATACCGGAGGTTTTCCGGAGGGCGCTGGGACATTGTTCGTCTTGACGTCTTTGTCGTGGTTGGAGGTGGAAAAATGGTTGGGAAATGCGCTGAAACTCTATTTTACTCATGGTATGCAGTTGTGGGCCAGTACGCTAAACTAGAAACTAGAAGCCAATTGCATCAGGCAGCTTGGCCGAGTTAAGCTTGACTCTTTTTCTTACTGGGATTTGCCGTAGCTTCGAAAGCTTGTTGCCGGAATCCACAACTCTATATTCATGGTCGGTCCTTGTAATAACGTGTTTTATCAGTAAGCGGCCCACATCAGTAAGTGGCCCACCCCACCAAACCTGACGCGACGCTCTACTCAATTGCTCTACAGCAACTTAATAAAATTAAATTAAATTAAAAGATATTATTCTTTATCTAGCTTTACATGAAGTCCGAGTATGTCCTTGAACGTGGCACTTCGTGCACGTTGGCGGCGCGCGCTGACGTCGCTCGCCAGTCTGGTTCTGGTCACCCCCTATTACTACCCTTTCTGCCTCTGCAATGATCTGCTAAGCCTATTGGACCTGGAGCACCCCACTAGAAGCGATATATTGACGCTGCCGCTC